GGCTCTATCTGGGGTGCAGCACCGGAGCGAGGAGTGAATGTACGGTGGAGGAGGTTCACACGGGGCTTAGGTTTTATTGTAAGAAGCGGCAGCTCTACATGGTGAAGGTGGCAAGTTACGTAAAATGTTTGAAGCAATAGCATGCAAAAATGCATGGTGCTACCGCAAACATTTTACTTAAAGTGCTAGCTCGTACCTAGAGCCATCCGACAGAATTAATCTGCGTTTAGACTGCGGTGTGTTAAGACAATAACGTTAATGTACGTCATAACGAGTTGACATAACGTCTTGCTTTAGTTCTCTACCAGGAATTGGCATATCAAGTCTGGCCTTTCCTGACGAAAATCTGGAGGATTTGACCGCTGCGGGCAACAACAAGATTAGTCAGGCTCCCCTTGGACCGCTGGGTGATCATTTTGCAACCAGGGAATCACAAATGTAATTTGCCCGCACTGGATTTTGTTGAGATACTTTATCGATTTAAAGCTCAAGACTGCCAACGAAAACAAACAGACTCGTGTTGGTGGGTCTGCACCGCAGATTGCGACGATCAAAATATATACCTGGTCCTGAAGGTGCAATTACGGCGCGCGTGGCTGCCGAAATTCAGGGGAAACTTTGAAGATTGAAAGGGTGGTGCGTGTCTGGTGTGATCTGCCGCGATTGATTGGCAAAGTTGAAAGCATCACTTCTACCGATGATCTGACAGTTGATGCTGTTGGAGGTAACATGACTTCTGTATGTATGGTGCTATGTGAAAAATACACTTAAGAAGTGTTATAGGTGGGAACTGTCTTAGCAACTCTTCGGATCGCGTTCGCATTGTTGAATCCGGACGTAATCCGATTCATCCTACCAACGCTTTATTCCCCCTACGTCACATGCAGAGCAATGCGCTTAGACCGAACGGTGGGTCCGATTTCACCGTTGCACCCGAGACGCCGGCTTTTCATAAGAGGTAACGGAAACTGCTACTTTTGCCACCAGATTCGGACGGGAAGTCTGTCCCATTGACGTAATTTTGTTGCTACTGCGTCATCTCGGGATCCCAAGTGAGTCCAGCCGCTGAAGCCACATTGACAATCTAGGGCATCATACGAGCCAACATATCCGAATGGTATTATAAGCGAGATCCGGACATAGTGCATAAATCTGTATACTCAATTGTGTGAATGTGCACTCGACGACATACGTGTTGTACGGATCTTATTTCGTGCTGTGACTAAGAGAAGTTAGTAAGACGGATGTTTAGTATTGCATACAGGCCAAAACAGAGGGTTTTCATTTTGCCTTTAAGCCAGCAACCCAGTACGGCCTATAGCAAGTCTTCGTGTTGATCCAACATGACATTGTGATGACAGCAAGTTGGATTTCTCATCGGGCGTTTTTTCGTTACGCTGACTGTACTGTGTACCAAATCAATATTTCATGTGCCCGTTTCAATTTCCAAACTGTCTGTGTAAATATTCATTGGCAGGTACTGCTTTTCGAATAGTCGTCAAGTAGTGCCGCATCCAGGTTGTGGGTGGATGGGGTTAAGACGGAACTCTTGTCTAAAAACTGTGGTCCAATTTTCTTTTTATCTTTTTATCCGTAAAAATTCCTCACCTGGCGCTGTTTCGAGAGTGTTGGAGTATTTAATTCCTAAAACGGCAACCTGTCTTTAAGGGCAAGTTGCCTTCCTCCCCCCCCCACCTCGATACGGCATTGTCGTCGAGTCTAGCTTCAATGCAGGACTCAGTTCAAGCTACATTTTGCAAATAAAATGAAACACGTGGAATTTACTCGAGTACTTGTGCATGTGAGAGTTTTCCTGTCTGAGGTTTTCTCAGCCGTGGGCTCGTTCCTAAACCAAACGGATCAGAATAAACACACTTCCGGGTTGGGAATGCAAACAACTGGTGTAAATCCCAGAACACATCCAACGTGGAAATTGACCCGAAATAAACTCCCACATCGGGTCTAAATCGCCACACTTTTCCAAACCATCTTGTCGTGCCATCGACCTCTACAATTTCCCCAATTTGCTTGATATTCTCACCTTACTTGGTAACAATCGCTAGGTAACGTTAAACAGTGTAAGACGGCTCTGCCGGCTGAGATTGATTTCCGTCAGAGCTAATTCCACGGTGCGTTGCATCGGTAATCGCTGCGTCCTCCGGTGTAAAGCAGGTATTTCGTGAACCACTGGGGTTGCGCCAAGTTTACGTGGGCGTGTGGCTAGTTCGCTCCGTTCCGTAGCCCATTAAATCTGATTCGATAATGAGGTGAAGTGCCTCTCCCAGATGCATGGTGTTATCTTCAGGACGTAAACAACTCTGAGGCCTGCGTGGTAAAAAAAAAAACACTAAAAATTAGAAAACAGCAATACGTTACGGAACTCGGACGATGCCGCGAGTATATAGAATTTAAACTCAGAATCCAAATACACAAAGTTTATCTCCATTGAAAATTTGTATTTCAGTTGGAATCAAAGGACACGATTTCTTCATGTAAAATCTGTCATGGAAACTTGAATGCGTTTATTGCAACGTTCGAAATCGCGTCGATTGGTAGCTAATCCGACCTTCGGCCGTCGTTACAAACAAGGTTTCTACAGCAAAAATCACATTACAAACCTGTCGATAATAGTATTACGTACACTAAAAGGACTTCCAATATCGACAGCACGCATTGCAGTGAATGTATTTTAACTTCAATCAGACTTGAACGTGATAAATGTAGGGAGAAACAGGGGAGTATTTCAAAATCGACCTTTTTCAAAGGGGATACCAAAACAAAAACAACAACCAAAAAAAAGTGAATATGAATTCTATTTGTGAAAGGGCAGAAAAGGACAGCTGCCTATATTGGGGTATGAAATTCAATAGGTTGTCCCAGGCTGTAAAAACACGTCCCACGGTTTTAGGATTCAATTTTTAGTTGAAATCAATCAATTAATTGATTGTCTCAAACGTCGCCCGAAAAACCCTGTTAAAAGGCTGAGTTCGTATGACCTTTCTTGCCCTAAAATGACGATACCAGGCTACCAGCTAAACCACGTAAGATCAGCCTCCCTGCCTCCTTGACCTTTTGGAAAGTATTAAGCCCAAGAAAATATTTACGGTAACTTTTGCAATAACAGCCTGCAAATTGAATGTACTATTTTTCTGAATAATGTGACAAACAATCAATTAGCGGTAACCAAAACCTCACCACACTCCGTTTCGACAAACACATCAATGTAGAAGGCAACATTTGCTCAGTGCGAGGACGTCCACTTGCTTATTGTACTGGCGCTAACACCTGATACGAGAAGGACCCGAATATATACCCATGTTTAATTGTCACAGTGGTCTCGAGGCAGACTGCAGCTCAGCATTCATCGTGTTTGCTCTGATAACACTCCAGATAATTAGGTAAACCTGCCACACAATCGGGGTAACTGAAGCGACGGGTCTGCATGTAAGGATGATACACATACCTCCACTGGATGGGAATACTTATTTTCCTGTCCCCGTCTTTATGGAACAAAATATTTTGAAGGTGTGCCCCGCTGTCAGGGGTCAAGATGAGGTGGAAAATGATGAGGCTGGTGGTTAGCTAAATTATGGAGGAAGAAAGGACGATGAACAGAGGGAGTTATGGTTATGATAGTGATTTATTGTATCCTAGGTATGTGAATCTGAATCGTATTTTGGCAAAGCCTCCTAAACAACAACTTGAGGTTTAGTTTGGGGCGTGGAGCTAGACATGTCTTCTGTAGCTTACAAGCACTGAACAATTTAAAAAGTTCGGCTCTAAAAATTGCATGTGATGTTTTACCAGACTCAACAATATTAGATGGGAGACTAGTCCAATCCTTGATTGTCCGTGCACAGAAGCTGTTGCTTAAGGCACCGGTTCTGGCATTGGCTACATTTATACTTGTGTCCCCGAGATGATTGTGTGTTTGCAGTGACAAAAGCCTCTGCCGGTACATCGACAATGCTATTCAGAATCTTGTTGACATGACTGATCGAACGACTAGGAAATGTGCGCTACCAACAAAATGAACACTCCCGACCAACATGGCTCTTTTCATCCGATGAGGGGGCGCTTCTGCTCGAGGCAGATGTCTACAACTACGTTCTTGGATATAACGAAGAACAGAACCGCACGAATCGTTCATTTTCCGTATGGGGTCTTAACTCAGTGGGTCAAAGGTATAATTATGAACCAAGCATGGAATAAACTGCGGAGTACCGTGCACGATGGGCACGATAAAGGGCAAACTCGTTTTCGTTCAGGTGAGCGCGCGAAATCAGAAGGACGTCACTTTTTTCCTTTCATGTTGTGATGCAATCACCGGTGATGTGAACTGTTGCGTAAATTCTCTTCGTTCGGTTTAAAGTTCGCGTCTAGTCAGCACCTCGATTACACCGCAACTGTCATTTTAAAAAAATACTTTAAATAAGCTGGGAGATGTATGTTCGAGAAAGATATGAAGTGATGGTTCTAGGATTCAAGATTTCGGCTGTATCCAAAACTTATTTTGCTGGGATTATAATAGAGACATGGGAATGTGCTGATCCGTATTTACACCAGAAACTGGCAAAGGAGAGCGTCTTTGGTTTTTGGAACACGTTGCGTACCAAGGTAACTATAATTTGTGTGCTGGACATGCGGCCTACATTCGTTTTGTGCTAAAGAGATGGCACCTGTTTCGCTTATAAAAGCAGAAGAACAAAGGCCAGTTCACATTCTCGTGTTTTATTAATCACTTCTACTGCTCTAAGCATTTCGTCTTCTCCACAAAGGACACACATTGTTAACGTCTTTGTGCTGTATCCTCATAATTATGTCTTCTTGAAAATGCATTACGCCAACAGAAATGACAATGAGGTGCTGGGATAGTGAAGATTAATAAGACCTTTCAGTGGGACACTTCTACCCTCAGCCTGACCTGAACCTATGTATATGGAGACAGACAGGTAGATTATCACAACTTTCAAGCTGTGCTTTTTGGTTTATTTTCGTAGCTGTGTCAGATGTCAGTAGTGCGCTGTACGTTCCCGATGCACAGATCAGACAGATGATAGTCAACGCCCACAATGCCTTGCGGCGGAAGGTTGCCACCCGATGGACAGACAAGGGATTGGCTGCTAGCAACATGAGGAAAATGGTAGGTCATAGGAAGTTCTCCTTGAGGCAGACTGGCGACATTTTCAAGAGAGCAGTCTACCTAGAAAAGATCACAAACTTCATCCTGAAAAAAAATATGTGTGGGTTGGAGGAAGATCCCTCAGTAAGTTTGTCATTGTCAAGTAGGCCTATCAAATGTTTATACAACACTCCGCTCGTACTCGCCGCCTATCGATAAAGAGCCGTGTGGGTTGCTTGCTGTCTCATTGCCACACGCATGTACCCATGCTTACATATGTATACTTGTGGGGTATTTCCTTTGTTTTCGTGTACAAAACTCCCCCACAACACGGAAAAAATTCAAATCACTGCCATTTCAACCAATTCAGTTTCCTGGGTTGAATTTTCGACCGTATGTCCCTTATATAAAACACTTCAATTTGCGACGGATGAATGGCACTTGAAAATTTCTCCTTTTTGAGTAAATTTGGAATATCTATTTCGTGAAACCCTGGTCGGGTACCGTCTCAGTACCCCACAAGTGCCTGTGGGGTACTTCCTATTGTTCCGGTACCCCACAAGCCCCTCTATACCCCCCCCCCACACACACAAGTTTCAGCGTGGTTACGGCTCCAACACAAAAGGTGAGGCTCCGGCACTAACAAGTACCGGAAATTGATGCCTGTATCCTGGGCTACTGTAAATCAGTTGCCCCAACGTTCACGTGGGATAACTGATATTTGGGAAGTTGACGTACGATCACCTATGCTGATGCGCCCCCAATCCACAGCATCTCTTCGCGAGGGCGTACAGAATTATAACTCGTCTTTTGTCCCCCTAAATTTGTAGTGTGTGGGGGCTAACCATGCACTTTAATAGCCCCTATATTTAAAAGCTATCTTATGCGGCGTTTGCATTGGCAATGACGAGTAACAGAGCGATAACCGAAGAATGGGAATGTAAGACGGGACATCTTCTCTGATGACGGCTGGAAACTTTTAACAGGCAAACGGTAAATCGTACAAAATACCACAGCAAAACATAGAAAGAACGTATGATGCATAGATAAAAGTTGTTGATCATGCGCGTGTAAGCTGAGACAACGTGTTTGCTGATCCAGGTTTTCATTTTTCAATTACATTCTAGTACATGTAGTATTTTGCTGTTTTTTTCTTTTTCAAAAGCATACTCTCATTCCAGTTTTGTTCTGCGGGTCTGCCCACTTTTGTTTGCAAGAAAAGCTGTCGATGCAGATACGTACCTAGACCTGGGAAGTACGTAAAATAGCCTGGGGCACTCCATTGTTCGGTGAAACCCAACCTAAAAACAGACACTTGGCACATAACGCTCGCTTAAATGGATAAAACATTTTATTGCCACGCATCTATAAGTGTTAATGTTGATTCACAGCTTGACCTGGTGTTGTCTCCTTGGGAAATAGTGTGGAATGGTTCATTCATTCATTTCAGTGGTGAAGGGGTGTTGACGCGAAGCCGTGGAAGTTTGAAGGGGGGGGGTGCTGACACAATATGACAGTGGGGGCGCTGTTCATGATACAGACCATCTTTAATATTTATACTTACACCCCCATGAACCCGATTTCAAGACAGCGTATTTTTTCCCCTTTTTCAGTACTAATTAATACATTTCGGTTGTTGGGAAGTCCGATAAATTCCTCAAAATTCAATTTCCTTTTTCTCACCACGAAAAAGTGGCAGATGATTCAATAGCCTTCCCTCCAGTCCAACAATGTAGGGGGTATTTATATCCCCACCCCGTCCCTTGGGGACACCCTTGATACCATTTCAATCCTGTCCAGGGGTACATTTTATCAACGTGAACACAGCAGCGCTCGATGCGTTTGTGAAATGCTTTCGAGTGTTGAAAATATATACCGGAGGCAAGTAGGGTCATCGGGTTAAAATGTGGCGAGAAAGTCACGTTTGTTTTTATCCAGCACATTGCAGTTAGCACGCTTTAGGCTGCCAAATGATACCTATGATAGTGTGAATTCCTTCTGCCACTCGTAATTTTCGCCAGTGGTCAAGTTGGCATTGGGTTTCTCCTCCCCATAATGACAGTAACTCACACCGTTTACTTAGACGCCAGAATAAGTCGTGCCGTGCATAATGCTAAATCATGTGTCGGAAGATGTGATGACGGTCGGGAGCCAGCAAGGCCTAGGAAGGCCCCTGTCATTTTCAGCTCACGTACGGCTCGCTTGGGCAACAATGACACAAACACCGTATGCTCACTCTTTTCAATTTGGTTTCCGAATGGTTTCCAGCAATGTTTCCTCGAACCCCATGCACTCCAAAAGGTAAAAGACCTAGTAACAACAAATAAACAAGCTATTCAACGATAATGTTTTGCAATCTGAATTCTCTTTGCGGGAAAACTCGGGACTTCTAATTTGGATTCAGTTCCGCTCGCAGGTTTCGAAGCCTTTGCACTTTGGAGCAATAAATGTTGATGGAAGCACTGCGCTAACCCATTAAAAAATGCACAAAGATGATTGGTCGAAAGGATATTTGGTCAGTGCATGCTTCTCAAGCGACAGGGACAGAAATATTAAATTCCGGTGTTGTCCACTAAATCCTCCAAATCATCTCCGTGTCGCTCGAAATTATTCAGAATGCTATCAGTTTTGGTTTCAGTGGGTAATCTCTTGGTTATCAGTTGGGCAAGTTAGTATGAGTGTAGTGCGCCATACACACAGTGTACAGTGAAATCGGGTAAACAAACTTGATTTGAGCATGTTTTAAGACATGAGCTTGATCACAGGGAAGCCATATTTGATTGTTAATTCAAAGAATCTATTTTATTCAGTGGAATTTACGGAGGTGTCCGACTTTTTAGGATTCCATGCCTCACTTTTATTTTTTTCTTAAAATGTTGTTTAAAACATTTGAATATAGGAGTGATCATAAATTTTAAATTCTCCATCAGGGTGAATGACATTAATTTATAATGAAGTTTCATCTCAGAGCTTACACTTTTATTCTCAGAAAATTTAGCCTCGCTTTCAATTCAGCATGGCCGACTTATGGCCAATAGTTGTTATACTGTGTGCCCCAAGAGGTGTCCGTCTGAACAATGTTAAAGGGTAGCTGCAGTACAATTTGTTCATACAAAACCTCCAAAATGCACCTTCAGATCTCAGTAAACCTCATTTTTAATTTTGTGCCACTATTTTAAAGGTATTCTGCTGCCTTTGTGTTTGTTTTGCTAATGAAAGTTTGCACACTCATGAGCAAAACTGTGATGTCATCCCAAGAAGCGAATCTCAATGTTGCATCGGTTTGTACACAAAAATTACATATAATTTTTTTCTTATATTTGCTGGCCTCAAGTTTCTCTTCTTTGGTGATTCATTGTTGTGTAGGCACATAGCAATGAGCAAGCATGGAACCCTTTCTCAGAAATGTTTTCATTGAGTTAATTTTGGGTTCACAAACTGAGCAGAAAAACCTTTGCAATGAAACATTGTCTCCCCTGGATGACATCACAGCAACAGCGCCCTCAGCTGTCCACAAAAGCATGTGCAGGTTTATGTTGCTTTGTTTTGCTTTGTTTTTTGAAATTGCGCTTTTCAATGCATTTCACTGAAAATGGATGTAAAATAACTTTCATGTATGGAAGAAGAGTCTAAAATTGCCGAAAAATTGCGTCTTCGAAAAAGTCATTGCTGCTACACTTTAAAATTACTACCAACCTTCAGCCAAAACTCTGAGCATTTTTAATCAGTTTCCTTCACGCCTGACTGCAGAACGATCAGTTGATCACAATAGATATTTTAGACACAAAATGCTGAATCACTTTTGCTCCTTTTTGTTTTATTTGCAAGAATTTGATTTTAAAAAATCACAATTTTGGTTGAATTTGTTTTTATTTTAAAAAATGAAATTGACAGTTCTGGGATATACAAGCAGGACGTCATTATTGTGATCCTGCCATGGAAAGACATTAGTTGCTTACTTAGATTAAAGGTGTATAGCTTGGGCGCAAATTTGTCAGAGCACCGTGCTTCCGGTGAACAATTTGGCTTGTCATACCCACTTTCAGCTTGTGAGACGCGAGTAATTATTAACGTGCATGTTCAATGTATCCCAACGTTTGATGTTTTCCGCCCATTTCACCCAAAGCACTCTCCTTCACATTAGTTCAGAGACTCGAATGTGTGGGGGAAACAGATGAACTGCACAGCTTGTAGTTTGGGATAAATATTGGATTGCCTACAAACGTAAATGATGTATGGATTCATCAATGGCATTCGTATTCGAGTCAATTTGCTTCAAACCGGATAAGTACACGCTGTCGACACCAGATTGAAGTCTGATCTTTTGGCGTCATTGCCAGCTTACGGGATCGCGGTGAGAAAAAGGTTAGACGACGGATTGGACGTTGCAGCGAAGCGGATTTTTAGATGTAAGCCGTTCTATTGGGGGAAACGGCTCCGAGGACGACGGGGATAAATAGAGGAAATTGTTATGGCAAGTGGGTTGAATGAACGAAGGATTGATTAGCTGTCAGGCACTCAGCACGGTTCGTCTACTGGTCACTGTGCATTATGAACCTTCTTATAGCTCTCGATTTTGCCTTCCTGTTTTTGTCTCGTGGCTAATCATCAGTCTGTGTATTTATTTTTAAACATGGGAGTCCCGCACATCTTTAATTTCTATGCTAATGTTTTGATACATACAGTGATTATACTCTGAACGCGATGTGTTCAGAGTAGTCACTGTTTATCACACATTTTTTCTTTTGGCCTGTGAAATGTACAAGATGGATTTAAAAAAATCCGTGCTCAAATTATCTCTCTGTCATTTCTGTGGTTGAAGCTCCAACAGTTATCGAACAAATGACAACAGGTTTCGCGCTGCATCGGTTTCGTGCACTGACTTGAGTGCGCCTGCCAATTTAAGATGGCAGCACGATTTTGTGCACATTCGGTTGCAAATTCGTTGCTTGTGATCAGCACGGTACGCAGCTTGAACTGAGGCACACGCACGCCTTGTGTTCAATTCAACAATGTCGGTTATTCACGTGGCATCAACAAAAACACAATGAAAAGATTCTGAAATCTTTTTCACGATAAGCCCTGCCGCAGCTATAGCATCTCAGAGCTCACCATTTCGCCAATTGCCGCTGTAACTTTGCCTTCACAGTTCGGGGCTCTGCAACTCCAGTAAAAGGGAATTGGAAACCGGAGCCCCGGACGTGTCTTGAGCGGGCTTGCAGAGCTCCGATGTTGCGGACTGCATCTCGACAACACCGTGGGCGTAAGGATGAAGTCGTGTGAAAATACTCTCTTAAAGGGAAGAGATCGGATTACATCCTCCAGTCTACAGCCCCTCCATATCACTTGATATATCAATATGTGTCACGGAGGATTATCCTTATTATCCATTGATGCGCGCAACAACACCGTATATGTTGGCGAGGAAGGTTGAAGAAATTCGAGGGGCATGCAAGATCATCCTTCGTCAAGCGGAAAATCCCAGGGCTTACTAGCGTGTATAGCGCCATACCTATTATTTACGAGGGTATTATGTACAGGGGAAGCGATTCTTGCCTCGTGTTGTATGTCCAGTATCAAATTTTGGATTGTTGTCCAATCCCCAGCGTAGATATCCGTGTTAAGCCCAGTGTTTACATACGGGGATCGTTTTTGATCACACCATTACCTAGCAAACAAACAACTCTACGTGTGTGTTGTTGTAGTACATTTCGCTTCGCGTGTCTTCTTTTGGTGCAATTTCCAAAGAACCCATTTTTCCTTTTTTAAGGCCCGTGTGCCCTAGAGAACCTGCATTCATTTTATGTGGTTATGCGCTTTGTTAACTTGACTCCCCGAGCTCTCCAAGCGTCTCATGTAACTCTTCCCGATCAAGTGGTCCACGCGTGTTTTCATGTGAACCGAACGAACTGAATGAAACTTGCAACATGAAAGAAAACTGAAGTTACATGAAGTCTTCATTCACTTGTTGGTGAAAAAGTTTTAACTATAGTTTTACTTTTGCTGCTTGCGTTTACTGTGTCGAGTGCATTCAAAACTGTTCGTGTCCCTGGTTTATATTTCAGGCGAATGCAAACACGATGCGGATTTGACGTCACGAACAATTTGCAGCCAAATTTCGCCCGAGGTGAAATGTGTTAGACTTTTACAAATTCCCAAAGGGAATAATCTCACGTCACAATTTCGTGTTTGCGTTGCGCCAATTATGAACCGGCCTTTCAGCGAATCAGGAGGAAAAACAACAAAAGCCCTGTACTTTGAAGGCGAATACCTCGTCTTTCAAAACATTTAAAACGCACCCATACTCAAATAGATCCAGATTTCACTTTTGCATTTCCTCAAGAGTTATTTCTATCAAAGATGTACTTTTATCTAAACCTTAAGGTTTTAAAACCTTTTAACCAGATATCACCCAGTCCCTACAGTTTTACTGTTTGGGAACAAGAGAGTATCAAAATGGATATCTCAGTATATGTTTGACTACAATTGATTTTATAAGTGTCGCTTTAACCCGTAGAGGCCTCCGTAGTCCTCACCGATTCAACCATCAAAATGATATTAAGACCAAGCTTTGTTGTGCATGAAAGAGGAACTTTTGATGATTTTATTCTTGGCCGAGAGAGAGCCTGCAGCGCAATTTCACTCTGATTTGTGGGAAATCAGCTTAGCACTATATTCTAAATTTGATCTCAGAGCAGACAGTATGTACCGCTGCGCAGGAAAAAAATGATTAAAACCTCATCAACGCGAGACGCGGCAACACCACCCACCTGGCGCTAAGCCTGATTGACCGGGGGATTGAAGACAGCGAGCCGGTGCGTTACCGCGCTCAATCGCCACTGAGTGTTTACTTCCTCGACGCGCAGATTTTTGTTCGGATGCGCCTGTGCTGCTGCTTTTTTTAAACACCCTTGTTGTTTAGTTATGCCCGTGTTCTTTGGCAATTTACCTGATAGGTTTCATCAGTAAGACATTTCCCATTTGGGAATGGCTTAGGCCAACTTGGGATAGCGGGCAATCGAGTCATCTTCCTGCTGAAAATGGTATGTGTGTTCATCACTGCCAACCGTTGGAAGACATTTTCAGTTTTCGCATAGCCTACACTTCGGACTGACAAGACCATTAAGCAGGGCTGTCGTCAACTTACTCTTCGTTTTCACGGAATAAGCAAATCGAATTTGGGAAAGAAAAAATTATGATTTTAAAGATATTTAGCACTGACTAGTGGAGGAACTTAGTCCGTTACATAGAGAGAATTGATTCGACTATAACTCAGTTTGAACACACGGATCTCGGAATCTTTATTACTAACCACTTAACAGAACAGATCACTCAATTTATATGTAATAACATTGATTTTATTTGTACTCCGTCAATAATATTGCGACAAAATTATGTCGGTCGTATCACATGTGTTTTTTTTTCAACTGCGTGCGCGTGACTTCACATCATTACCAAGTGCTGTTGTAATCGACGCGACATTTGAAATTTCAAGCTTCACTGAATTAGGTCATCTAATCTCCGAACGAATGCATCGGGAAAAAAACACATCGTCAGTGATTAGATATCATCGTGATTAGATATCATCGTGCTGCCCAAAGTATTTAATTGCGATTGGCGCCAAAATGTCTCAGGCTGGTCCACACGAACATTACGGCACAAATGCCTTATGCCTTGCGTAAAGAAATTGGGATACATGGCCATATGGGTGGACGGGTCCCCTCCACTCAGCCGAAGGGGACACTGCACTTGTTACCAACTCTTCAGAGAAAATTTGGGTGCATTTTCTGTTACAAAGACAGCTGAAATTAGCTGGTATATTTATTGGTATTTATCATGAAAATGTCTTCAAGATCCTGTGTATTGCACGTGCATACCCATATGATTTAGACCGTTGCAACAGAATGATAGCTGGAGTGGCATCAAATCAAAACGAGAGCAACATTACTCGAATTTTGCTTCATACTTCTGCCAACCAGAGTTGGGATGCGGAGCTGGCAGATGAGGCCGTCACCCAGGCAACGTGCGATAGAGTGGAGGATATCTCTGGGATGAGTTGGGCAGTTGGAGGCCACCCCTCGGTCGCATTTTTCGACGACCTCGAGGACAGGGCACACGGCAAGAATGTGGCCGTCAGCCAGCATCGGAACATTCTTCAGATGATCGAGGAGTGGAGCGCCGGAGAGGGCCACTTTGACTACGAATACCACACGTGCGAACCTGACTACGCCTGCACTGCCTTCAAGCAGGTGAGTATATACCCTTCATCACCCGTGGTGCAAAAAAATAAAAATAAAAACAAATAAAATAACAACAACATCAAGCAACAAAAACAAAGGGAGTATTGTTCGCACTCTTGGTTTATTAAGATCCATGTTATAGTATTAAGTGGGCATTCGAGATTCTGTTCAGGTAATCAACCACGTTAAGTTATGGTCGTCTCGGTATACTCTTTCAATCCAGCGGGGAAGGAGAGACTCTTTTAAACGTTTGGAGTACGGGTATGCCTCTGTGGATGCATCAGATTTAATTACCAGTATCCGTTCTTAGCGTGACCAGGTCAAAGGCGGATTGGGGACGTGGGGACTGGGGCTATGGCCCCAAATAAGAACCAAAGGGGGGATGAAAGGCTATCTGTTGGTCCATTCCATTTCCCTTACTTTCCCTTACTTTAGGGCCATAAAATAATACGTAAAAAATTCCAAATTTTTGCCCCCCCCAAAAAAAAGTTTTCTTCCCCCCCGAAAATTTGTTTTTGAATCCGCCCTTGGGGCCAGGTTAACCAAAAAACATGACAAACCCCAACAAATCACTGCGCTTATTCACGCAAAATAGCGCCCTCAACAGACAAGTAGTCTTAATGAGTAGAAGAATCTCCTTCAATGACACAAGAAAATTCGTTCAAATTTGTACAAGGGCATTTTCTAATCATAAAAGAGCTATTGATCAATACTGATGGTCTTGTTTTAATACTTTTCTGCAGATGATATTGGCCAATGCTAGTCGAGTTGGATGTAGCCTCAACCCATACTGTGAATTAGATGGCGAGAGTGTGAAACTCCTAGTCTGTATGTACGATGAGAAGTGAGTGTCAATGGGAAGCTGCTCAATCCTCACCGAGCAGAAGCACCCCTCATCGGTTGAAACGAGCCATGTTGGTCGGGAGTGTTCATTTCGATGGTAGCGATATATGCGACCGGAAAGGAGCCTCCGTCGCTAAGAAAATTATACCCTCTCTTGGTCCAGTTCTGGGCTCATACAATAATCCCCTACATAAGCACAGTTTTATGCGCATTTGCATCACAGCCGCATTTTCAGTCGGACTCCTCTGCCCGTAGATCAATTATGAGAGACGCCCCCACCCATACACTGTTTGTCAAGGTGTGCACCTGATATGTATTCTTTGTTTTACTTCACAGATTTAGCATTTTTTTCGATCTGTATATCGTCGGCCCGCCGTGCAGCAAATGCCAATCGCCGACTGGATTCTGCGAAGACGCCCTCTGTGGTCAGTTTGTATACACACGACCTGCTCATTTTGTAAATCTAATCTGTGTTTTAAGCATAAGACCAACGAGGACCTTAAACACAAAGATTGAAAGTAAAGGCAGATTAGCCAGCAAACTTAAATTTGGATTTGAAATCAGAAATCTTTTACACAGGGTTCTACCCCAACAAGAGCTGGGGGCAGAATCCGCCTCTCGACATTTGTCCAATATCGCTGCCAGGCATTTCTTTCCTCCAGTCAAACCCTTGTGAGTGTTTATCTCTAATCATTTTGGCACCAACGCTGTGTAAGTATACTGTGCTGGGTCGGCGCCTATTTTTCCGAGATGGATCAGCCGAAAAATTACACTTTTCTGCAGCCGCCTTTGCCTTTCTGCACTGAAAAGACTATAATGTCAGGTGTGACGATCTACATTTTTACTGATAACTATATCTTTACAAGCATATTTACAAGTGTTGTTGTTGTTGTTGTTGTTGTTGTTGTTGTTGTTGTTGTTGTTTTGTTGTTGTTGTTGTTGTTGTTGTTGTTGTTGGGTCCAAAATAACCTGGATCTTTTAGGGTTAATTTTCAGTTCGCCCTACAGCAATTCTGTCTTTTTCTTTCCATTTTAGTTTCATCTTGCCACGGCAGCTCATCCGGAGAATGCAGTGAGTCTAAATTTTGTGCTAAGATTTTTTTACTAATCCACTGGGTTTTGAATAACCAAATTTTAAAGTACTCTTTACGTATCCAGAGCATAAATGGCTTCATCGCTGCCATACAATCGAAAATAATGAATTTTTTTTCCTTATGGGACAATAGCATAGTTAACCTGGCAAAGCAAGCCAAAATGGACTCCCTGACCGTGCTGTTACAGTGGGAAGTCTGCCGTAGCGGTTGTGGTTTAAGTCTCCAAAATCATTTTTCACTTTTATTTTACTATTTTGCCCTTCCTGCGGCCACCTTTGCTCCCCTTCGGCCCAGTGACCTGACAACGGTTGATTAAAGTTTCGCACTTCAACTTCACTGCACATGCATTAGGTATGTCGCGAACCAACCACTGGTTAACTAGTGGCCCTTGATCGATCTTTTCCAAAATTATCTGAAACGCTTGTCTCATTAGGTTGTCAAAAAACGTGTCATCACCCTGGCGTCGGTGAGGGCGTGCTTGATGCGCACACCTGCATGTGCGACTGCACGTACGGACTTGGAATCGATTGCCAAGGTAGGCTGGGCCTTATTGGAAGGCTGATCTAAAGGTCGCAGAGAGCCGTAGGCAACAATTAGAAAGGCCTTCATTTCGATACTAAAAATACAGGGGAAAATGCTGAACTACCTCTAAAATATTTCAGACGCACGGCGAATGGAACCTTCTTTTACAGCCTTTCATTTTCTGTCCAATTTTCGGGAGGTAATCCTTGACTTTTGGGCGAAATTCCCCCTGAGATGTTGGCCCTGAAAAGTATTCCTGAAGCCCATCGCCATTTCAAAAGTTGGTGCCAACAATCCGCTACAAAATACAGCACCCTTAAGGCCTCCCTTTCCCAGTTCAGTCACTGGACACAAGCTCCCACTTCTTTTACAAGCTTTCAAGTTCAAATTTCTGACTCTTAAGGCCTGCATCTGTGCGTAGGGTGGAATATCCTTTTCTTTTAAACTGACCATTAGAGAATTAGCGAGTTAAAAGACCAGATAAACGAGGGACAGTAAGCACTTTCTAGCAGGCTTTTCGTTCTCCCACCTTGTTTTCTCTCACCTATTAATCTTTTTTCATTAAAAACCTGCTTTCAAATTTAGATTTGTGTGAGAATCCACAATATTATGTCAACTACGATTACTGTGCTGACATAAATAACCCCGAGTCCTGCGAGACAGATCAGACTTTTCAACTGGAATTCTGCCCAGCAAACTGTGACTACGGCTGCAGTGAGTAATGTAATATAAAATGGGACCCAAAGAGAAGCCGTGAAAGGCTTCCTTTTTTTGGACTAAAAAAAAAAAAGTTGGCTCACCACGTCAAAATTGGATAACTTGGTTTGTCCTGGCTCTTAATTATTTTTTTAATCCACAAGGAAAACCGGCATGTTATTTCCTTTTCTTTCTTCCTTTTTTTGTCGCAGGGCCGGCCCCGTGATAAAGGTTTACTTTATAATCAAGGTATGAAGAGGGCGCCCTAGCGCATCGTTTCAACATCACCACCGGCTTCTGCACAGCAAGTTCAGTGTTCGAGTCCTCGAACGGTTGTTTGTAAGACATGTGCTTCATTGTAAATATTAAGGACCATTCTTATTCACGTTGCATTATTGTGTCTGTCTTGGTTAAGGATGACTTTTGATGTTTGTTGATTGAAAAAGTTTGTTCCCGTGGTGTCTTATGTTTATGCTCTCATTTTATCGTGAGTTCCTCAGTCGAACGGTCAGGTTACGTAATTAATGTAATACTAATAACCGTACGGGTTTTTTTTTCGTTGCTTGCTAGTTTAATAATGGGAGACTTTGAGACGCTTGGTGGCGGCAGACACAATGGTCCTTTTTGGTTGATGTGGGCATGCGCAATAGTTCTGAGCACGTGCACAAGGG